GATGTTGGGCCCCTGGCGCGGCAGTGGCTCGTTCCAGAAGCTGAACTCCAGGAGCAGCTGGTTCCTGCGGGACAGCAGCATCCGGCTCCTCTCCTTGCGGAAGTCTAGGTACTCCTGGGGACAGCCCCAGCCAGGGGTTTTGGGGTGGGGGCAAGCGCAACCCAGGCTGGGGGAGCAGGCAAGAGGCGAGGCAGAGTGCTCAGGCAGCCCGCCCTGGCCGTACCTTATTCTGCTTGAGCTTGTTCATGCAGTCCATGAGGGCCGGGTACCCGCCCGAGAAGCGCCAGAGGTGCACTGGAAGGAGAGCACGGGGCTGGCAGGGACACAGCACCCCAAAAGCCCACCCGGCAGCTCCCAGCCCTCTCCCGCCATGTGACAGCCAGCCCGCAGCACGAGCAAAGGTCTTCACTGTCACTCTTGGCCTCTCCAGCCTGCCCTCACCTGCCTGGTCCTGCTCGCCGTACCATGTGTTCCAGTTCCCCACCAGGTCGCAGGGGTAATCGGCGTCCAGGTGGAGCTTGGGCAGCACCTCCTCGCTGTGGGTCCACAGGGAGGGCAGCTGTTTGGGGGGCAGCCACCCCAAAATGCTCCAAATATCCCCATTTGCCCTCCTAGCCCAGCATGAGGGGTCTGGGCATGGGTCTGCCCTCAGAGGACCTGAAGCAGCCGCAGGAAGTGCACCCATTTCACGGGAAGGGAAACTGAGGCAAGGACCAAGGGGCAGGGGCCTGCCCAGGGTCTTGCAGAGCTCTGCATGAACCCTCTCACCCCCCTCGCTCCAGAGCGGCACCCCAACACCCCGCTGGGATGCTGGGCAGCCCCCCACAATGCACAGTGGGGCTCACGTCAGGCTGTTGTAAGCGTCCAGGCACTCCGGCTTCACGTTGTGAACTGCGGGGAGAGCAGAGAGGGGCTGCCAGGGCAGGGGCCAAGGCCCTGGCGGGGAGCAGGGCCCAGGGCAGCGCAGCCAGGGGGTCCCCATTGGTGAGGGGGGGGTCAGCACAGTGAGGTGCACGCCGCCTGCGCTCACCCCCAACTCCTTCCTCCCCACGGGGCCACTCACACTGGATCTTGTAGAGGTTGCTGGTCTCCTTCTTGGAGAGGAGGTTGGAATGGGCGTCCTTGCGGGGGTCCACCTTGTGCACGAAGAGGGAGCGGAACCAGCTGCCCTCGGTGTCCCTCGAGTACCCCCTGCGAGAGAGCGGCT